GATTGTAAAGTCTTAGATGAAAAAGAACAATGATTCCTGAGTAGTTGAACTTGAATCACTGTATAGTTGAATAATGCCATTCAATAGTACTTGCTGCTATTTCTTGCAGAATCACCTAAACATATAGAAATTGATCTCTCTCTCCTGAAGAAAATGATAGAATTCCCTTATCTTTTTAGACTGCTTCATTCTTGCTGTGGAATCATGGACAAGAAGTCAGATCCCACATTGTCAGATTTGCAATAATCATCCTCTGTATGCAATGCAAACTGCGGCTTCTACATTAGATTGCAAGGAATGAAAACTTTACCAAACTGACTTGTCAAAGTCCAAGGGGTACAGAGTATATAGGCTTTTGTCCACAACGAATTTTAGAGAGTCATTGGTAATTGGTATTGTCTATCCAAAAAAACTTATCCGAGTATAAATTACTCAAGTTTTAATACATCAATGATTCTAGTCAGATTCCTCGGGTGGAATTAGAGTCCAAATTATGATGGTCATTTATACTTCTGGAGGGGGATAAGCTTCAAGTTTCCATCTACCGGTAGCCTCTTCCTCTCCCACGTCCTCCCCATCCCCTGCCCCTGCCCTTGCCTCTGCTTCTGCCTCTTGCACCTGTCCTCCCACCGTAAGATATACCTTCCAGTGCTCTATTAACAAGATGATTTTCCAAACCATCAGCTCCACGACCCTTCTTTAAAGCCATGTTACCAGATCCATTACCAGCATTTGCAGGTCGTTTCACTCTGCACAAGAGTTGATGCAAGGTAATTGAAAGAAGGCAGACATAAAAAATAGTGCAATTTTAAGAAGGCTCAATTTGGACCAAGTGTCTAAAATTGTAACACATCTATGAGGGAAGAAGCCTCACACTCAGTTGTCAAGGAACATGAATATGAAAGAAAGTTGAAAATCAGGTGGACTAATTACCTAGTTGTCGTTGCATTAGAGGCTGCAGTGGGTTTTGTAACTTCTTTCCAAGAAAGATTTACACTCTTATCCCCAATAAAGAAAGGTGTCTTTGAATGTAAAGGTTGAATAGAAGTAAGAAAATATAAAAGATAAAATGCCGAGAAATCAGTCATACATGCCAAATAATCATCAGAAGGTGTTAGTGCTCACCGTAAAATGACATTTGCAAATGTAACTCTAAGTTAGTGCTGGGTTGTCCTTTTTTGTTAGTCTAGTTCCTTTAGTCAAGGAACCATGTCTCTACATATTTTGTATATGTAAGGTGTATGATGGATTACGTGGAGTTGTTAGAACAAATCTACTGTTGGCACTAGATTGCCTGATTTTGTAATCTATATTTGTAACTAATTATGAAAGAAATATAAGTGAGGAAAAACCCAGAAACTGAGCTCCTAGCAGCGAGCCAGCCTTCAGCTTCATTTCTTCTTGTTCTTTTCTGAAAAATCCAAGCAACCACACCAACAGAAGGAGAAAAAAAGAAAACAGGATTTGCTCCATTATAACTATTACCTTTGTCATAGCTAAAATGTTATTGCAGGTGCGCAACCCAGTTGTGGTGTTTTGTTTTTGAATTTTCTGTGTAAATAAAATGAAGATATTGGTTAAAAGAAAAAAGAATCAGAATAAACAATATGCTTAAAAGACAGGATTTACTGAGAATTCACTAACAATCTTATCCCTCGCTTCATCAGACTTAGCGGCTGCCATTGTTTATTTGTGCTCAGCCATTCTTTGAGTTAATTTCTTCATGGTAGCCCTGGTAAGGTCCTCAACATGACTCAATCTGGGTCATCAATCACAAAAAAGTATGATAATCATTATTAGAATTAACATCAAAATGGAATGTAAAGTGAAAATGAAGATTGAAGAGAGAGGAAGGAAAAAGGACATCCTCCATTAGAGGAAATCATGCTAGAACTAAGAAGTCAAGCAACAAAGAGGTGGAGCGAGATGGGATCAAACCTCCTCAATACCTTGAAACTTTTACCCCATAAAAAATCAATCAACACACGCTTCCAGTTCGCAATTTGCAACATACAACTAGGTGCAGATACTTCACCTCCATCATCTTCTACAGCTAGGGACCATAGATTACATATTCACAGAAACATGGCTACAAAATCTAGGAACCTTCATGCCATGTCTTTGCCTTAAATTTCTTGCCCTATACGTAACTATGTTATTCATAACAAACTGTGTTATATTATTTACCATGTACGTAACTTCCCCTAATATCCTCGAGTATGGGAGCAAGGAGGGATTGGAAGTTTTAATAACCTAAAACCAATCACATCCTGATTAAACTTCAAGCTATCACAAGTTCTCAAGTTTTGCTCTGCAGTTTGAATCTTTAATATTTAATAAAGTCATTAGTACGAGTCATATGCCAACACAATATATTTATATTCATTAGAACTTATCCAATATCAAGTGTAGGAAGATAATGCAGGACAAGAAAAAGATTAGTAGCAAATGTCTACCTCATCTGCTTTAGTCATTGATACATAAACAGATAAAGTATTTTGTAAAATTCCAGCTATACTAAAGTCCTTTCCCGCTCAATCACTCTTAATACAGGGACTAGGCACGATTCAAATACAAAAAAATAAAGACAAAAGTCCCTACCAGCATGAATTTAAGAATATTATGGGTTATGGTTGCCCCATAATTAAATAATTTATTCTGTTACAAACATCAACATCTTCAAAGGGAAGGAGAAAGGGCATTAATCTTTTCTTTAAGGGACTTAAATATCAAAAAGAGCCAATAGGCTAGTGTTGGGGTGTACTGGTGATGTAGGTTGATGACTCAGCGGCGATGATGATGTGGAGGACTGATCGGGGTGGCACCCAAGGAAAATGAGGCGGGTCCTTTTGGTGGCACTCATCTCACGTGCAAGGGGCTATGTGCTACGAGCCATCTTGTTTCGCTCGGTGATGATGACCTCCAGCAAACTTTCCAGCAAAGTCAGAAATATAATTCTTCCAACCAAGTCGGTAGAGCTAGGCAGCAGTGACGGAGTTTCGAGAACTCAAGATGATTACACAACTATCAAAGATAATGGGAAGAAGATGTGTATCGTTGAAAGGGCAGTGAGGATGGAAAACATGTGAGGGTCAAAAGATTACAACTTAAGAATCACATCTATACATACAATATGGTGACATAATAGTAATGTCAATAAATGTGACCTCTATTATCTCTAGTAAATATCTTCACCCTATAATAAACAGCCCTCATGTTGAGGATAAAAAAAATACAACAACTCTAATCTTGAAATCCTTTCAAGAAACGAAAAGGGATAAACTTGAAAGTGGTGATGGGAGAAGGAAGGATGACCACTTGGGAGCTTGCGTGTGGAGTACTTGATCTCGTTTTTTATACTACCTTTGCAGCTTGATCCTTTGATGCTCAAGAAAAACTACCCAGAAATTGAAATTGCAGCATGCTGCCTCCCAGCCATGTTGTTCTGCAGGTTTGGAAAATATTCTGCAGTGTTGGAAGTGTAGAAAATATGGAGAGAAATGGTTATTTCTAGATGTTTTCGATGTGTAGGGTGGTAAGTTGAGGATGAAGTATTTTTCAGAGGAAGAAGGGAAGTTTGGAACGTGAAAGGGAGATTGAAGTTGTGAGAAAATTTTGTTTTCTTCTGCATGTGTATATCTTGGAAAATGAAGGGAAGATAATATATATATATGTGCAGTGGCATTGTTATAATTTTTGGTTGATGGCTCAGAGATGTACAGGTGGGTTTAGGTGAGCTGTCAAATTTTTAGTGGCTCTGGGCACTACTGGCAGCTCTATAGCAGGGGCATCATGAATTGCCCAGTGGTTCTAGTAACGTTTCACTAGTCCTGGCGAAGAACTGGAAATTGAATATTTCTAATAATGCCTTTAGCTATACAAAATCCCATTTTTGGGGAAGTGCTTGAGTGTAGTCGGCAAAAACAACACTTGTACAGGATTTGGTAGGTTCCCCAAGCTTTGCACGAGATTTTGAAAGATTCTGCAAGTAAACAAGAATCTTTTGCAACAATTTCCAAGGCCATGGAACTTGTGCAATCACCCTTGCATTAAATATGCTTACAAGTTGCTGATGGTGACCAAAACAGCACCTCTAATTAGTTTTTAATGGGATTTCCAACCTCTAGATATCATCAAACGGTACTGTTTCTAGAATTAAGTTCACTTCCATGTCTTCGCCACTCAGCCCTTTTTGGCGAAGTCAAGCAGCATCGCCAGCATCAAGCTTCGCTAGTGCGAATGCCTTGCTTCACTAGACAAGTAGCATTCATCCATCCACGCCTGCTAAGCCACTTCTCTTATAGTTTATCTCAAGTAATTCCCATGAGCTTAGATTCATGAATTTGTGTTTATCTACAGTAACAGCAAGGCACATATGAATATATGTTCAAATATTTAAGCATAAGAAATATATAAATATATGCAGCAAAGAAGGAAACTCCCTTGTGTGTTGAAGGAGACTATGTGGATGCATATTCGCTACTCTCATTTGTTTGCTGAGCACCAGTATATTGCTGTTGTACATGGCTGGCATTGCGCCAGAATAAAGAATAAGTGATATGGATGTGTACTGCGATATCATTGTCCCAAGTCAAGTTTTGTTAGATGGCGATACCTGCTAACACATAAGACATAGAAAATATGTGTTGAGTCGGGATTACCAACGACCAATAATTTTATCCCTTTGTATAGAATAATGATGACGTGCATGATCGCCAGCCATGTTATATACATATTGCAGGGTCAGCCATGAATAGCTTCCCTATAGCCAGAGGGATAATAGTGGATAGCTTTGTCCATGGCTGGAGTGTGAACTATGTAAAATCGGTAGAGTACTCCCACTAATCCACCAAGTCATGAAAGAGTAAATTTCATTAAATCAAACTCTACCATAGCGATGGATATGTATAAAGAAGGGTGGAGTTGTTTTCATGGAAGGGGGACGCCAACCACATCTATTGCCTCTGAAATGACAAGGTATAATACCATTGATAAATGCTGACCCTTCTAGCCATACCCACATTGTCAAAAGGTGGTCTTGGTTGTTGTTGCTCGTCAGGCACCGCACCACCATGCACGGGTGACCATTAAGGGACCGTTGGTCGCTACTCGATGGATTTTTATTGTTGGAGGGTAGCCATCCCATCCGATCACAAGGCTACAATTGTTATCGACCTCACGCTAATCGTACCGAATTGCGTCGACTCTTTGTTCGTTTCCTGCAGTCAATGAGATAGAATATGTAGAAATTCGATCCTTTGTCCGTTGCCAGGAGCTGGTGTAATGAAATATGTAGAAATATATAGTCTTTTGCCCATTGTTGGAGGCTAAATGAGATAGCAAATCTAACTCTTTATCCATCACTGAGAGCCATAAGATACAACAGTGAATATTGCCACAGAGGACATGACTATCAACAAATGCCTAGCCATGTTGCCAAAATAGATCTAATCATGTCTGGCCATGTATGTGGAAATAGATGCTAGAGTGAGCTGCATTCTACGATGTTTCCAACGAAGTGAATAAGTGTCGCTTCTGGTGATGCTAATTCCATTGCAGCAATTAGTAAAAAAATAGGAATTACACATCCGATGTAGAAAATAAGTGTTGTGGGCCTTTGTTGATGTGGACCTGCACATGCCATTGGTTAAACAGCCATATAAATTCATCCCTCAACGGTTAGCTCTTAGTGAAATCCTTATAATACTCAAAGAAGTCCTCCCCAAGTCTATTTGATGGTTGACTATTATCAGGGGCAGAGCCAGGAATTTTAGTCAGGGGAGACTGGCTTTTCAAGTCTTAAAATAATGTATTTTAATTTTGAAAACTTACTTTCATATCATATATTAAAATAATATTTGACGAGTTTTCATATTACAAAATCTATTTATAATATTGTACACACTAAATGACTAAATTATTTTCTTTTCAATATAAACAATCAAAGAGTTTGAGAGAAATTCATCTTCTATTTTGTTGCGAAATCTCATTTTCATAATTTTCATGGTAGAAAATACCTTTTCTATTACTACTATAGAAACTGAAAGAGTAAATATCAAAGTAATTAACTTGTAAATTATTTATTTTTAAAATTTTTTAATTAAAAATTTAAATTTAAATTCTACGACATGTGAGGAATAATTTATTTTTTATTATATAATATATAATTTGATATAAAAAAATGTTCTTTCACATCTAAAGGGAAGGTAATTTGATTTTTGACAAAATCCAATTGCATTGTAATTGAATTGTTGTCTAAATTGGTTTATTATGATTTGAGTGGTGTTTGGAGTTGTTTTCTCACAACATTATTTTATACAACACTTCATTAAAATTGTTAATTTTATATAATTAAATTGTTTTTAATTGAAATTACATAAAATTTATTAATCGTATTAATTTACATATTAAACTATTTTCAAAGTATTTATTAAATAATAATATAATTTTTTAGTAGTAAAATACTCAATAAGCACCAAATACAGACACCTTTAAATTAACCAATTTATTTAAACATATACACCCCAATTTTTTTTTTTTTTTGATAGGTATATACGTACCAAATTTATTGAGTTAGAGTACATATATAGATGAAAAGGTAAAAAGACTGGTATTAAAGAAGTAGGTAGATGTGGGTACCAA